GAGCTTTGACAACTCCCAGGGTCTACGTTCTGGTGTCTCTCTCCTTTTTTTTTCTAGTTGTAAAATAGTAATCTAAAATGATCAAAAAAGATAAATAAATATAGAAGGATAAAAAAATAACAAATATTACCTCCCAATTAACCTCTTTATGCATCAGTTTCTTCATTGGTAAGATGAAAATTATAATAGTACTTCACATCTTTTTTAGAATTAAATTAAACAATCCCTGTATAAAGGTGCTTAGCATATTGCCTTATTGCTTAGCACATAGTAAAAACATATAATAAATGAAGATATTATTATTAATTGTATTATATTAAATGTAACCATTAATAAGGGATATAAAATATCTTGACCCGGGCCGGGCGCGGTGGCTCAAGCCTGTAATCCTAGCACTTTGGGAGGCCGAGGCAGGTGGATCACGAGATCAACAGATCGAGACCATCCTGGTCAACATGGTGAAACCCCGTCTCTACTAAAAATACAAAAAATTAGCTGGTCATGGTGGCGCATGCCTGTAATCCCAGCTACTCGGGAGGCTGAGGCAGGAGAATTGCCTGAACCCAGGAGGCGGAGGTTGCCGTGAGCTGAGATCGCGCCATTGCACTCCAGCCTGGGTAACAAGAGCGAAACTCTGTCTCAAAAAAAAAAAAAAAAAAAAAAAAATCTTGACCTCTTTGATAAACAAAACTCCATCTCTAAATTGAGACTAACTGTACCCTGGGGTCATCGTTGTCTTTGGATTCAGGCTCAGGAGCTCATTGGTGCCAGGCTGTGTTCACTGTTGTTCTTCTGGTAGCTAACATCCCTTGGCCGGGGCACGAAGCACAAGAGTTAGCTGCCTTTTATATGACAAGTCTAGGCCATCTTTTTTGGTATTTATATACGAATGTTCTTAGGTTAGTTTTAAAATCTTTTATTTTGTGACAATCTATGACTTCACTTTTATTAAGTGACTTTCTCTACTATTTTAGAGCAGATTGGAACAATTTGATGATAATAAAATCTTCAGTGCTAAATAGTCTATCTTTTTATGCACAATATAGTCACCCTTAGAGAGCTGAGCTGACCTCAAATTTTGGGCTTACATTTGCTTTTCCCACACTGCGTCAACTAAATCATTAAAACAAACAAAAACACAGCAGAAACTAAGCCTTCCCTTATCTCAGGGAAGTGGCAGATGCTAATTGTAAAGGTTTATCTTCTTTTAACCATGGTCTAGGAGAGCAGTGTTGCTACTTTATCCCAGCTCTAATATCACAAGAAACGGAAATTTCATGCAAGCAAATATTATTTATGAATATGGGCGACTCTAGATGCATTTTTTATGAACATGGAACATTTGGCTTTGCATCTGGCAGTGCGGAGAATAACAAATCCGGCTCTGCACCCTAGGAGACATCCAGATTACTTTATTATTACAATGGTTTTGTAACTCCAGGCAATTTTCAGACACCTGGATATTTATGAATGGTTCAAACCTCCCTGATAGCGTTTTATTCCTACGACTTTGAAGTTAGAGATCATTGGAGTTAGCTGGGTTTGTAAAAGCATGTGGGAAATAAATGCAAATCTTAGCTCCTCAATTTATTAGTGCTTTATTTCATCATTGCCAGTCCTTTCAAAGGTTGACGAAATCTTGGGAGCTCGTGATTGTTACCATGAAGTTCAAGGCTTCCCTCTGGAACACATCGCTGGCGTACTTTGTTAGTCTTAAGTCGTCTTCTTGATTTCTGGTGGGATAAATGTAATTCCTCTGTAGAATTTAATGTAGAAATTGATTAATCTAAATTAGTCTTTTACATCTTTATAAGTAACTCATCCTTATGCTAGCTAACGTTTTTTTAAGTATCTCCTAGAAATCTCTGTTTTTCATCTTACCCAAGCACTCTATTGTTTGAAAGGAATTGGATAGAAAACGATGACTTGGCTTTTAGTACAAAAACCACTATAGAGCCCTTGGAAAGTTTATTTGTGCACTTGTGTATTTTGACACTCACTCAGTAGGTGAACTTACACAGAAGAGAGCCGTGTCTAATAGAACTGTCGGCTTCCATTTATTTTTTGTTATCATCTTGCAGTGCTGTTTTTGGCACACAGTTATGTAAGTCACCAGTCTCCAAAAAAAAAAAAAAAAAAAAAAAAAAAAAAGGCAGGAGTAATCCTGTGCTGATCGCTTCATGTTTGCCTTAAATAGCACAACACTGACATTTTCCATGCACTAATTCAGGTTTTTACTTGAGAACAAACAGGAATGGCATTAAGGAGATGCCTCTTTTCTCATCTACAGGTTTTATTCCTAAATGTTAATTTAAACATCTTTAGATTCTATTCTGTTTTATTACTCTTTATTTCAACTTTTTCTCTTCCTCCAAAAATGAGTTTTGCACATTTTATTTTATTTTATTTTTTGTAACAGAGTCTTGCTCTGTCACCTAGGCTGGTGTGATCTCGGCTCACTGCAACCTCTGTCAAAGTTATTCTCCTGCCTCAGACTCCAGAGTAGCTGGGACTACAGGTGCCTGCCTCCATGCCTGGCTAATTTTTGTATTTTAAGTAGATATGGGAATCACCATGTTGGCCAGGCTGGTCTCGAGCTCCTGACCTCAGATGATCCTCCCACCTTGGCCTCTCAAAGTGTTGGAATTATAGGTGTGAGCCACCGTGCCCAGCTCTAGTTTTGCATGTTTCAATTTTAGGTTTTAATGTTTAGGTTTTAGGTGTTTTTTGTACAAGTCAAATGTTAACAACTGTATATACGTTTTTGGCTGAGAACTAGGAAACAGACACAGTCTGAGGATTCTAGATTCTAACTTTTAGAATCCGGAAGCACTCCTCTTCTAACAGTTGTCTGGGAGCCCTTCAATCTGCTACCTTTATTTATAAAATATTTATGCCCCACCCCAGTACATGTTCAAGACTTACTATCTCAGAGGTCTACACTGAAATGGACTTCCTAGGGCCCCATGGCTGAACTTGCTCTGAGCCCTGCTCCTGCTCTGAGCTCCTTGCTGAGTGAACAAGTTCATACATCTGCCACTACAGTAGCAGAGAGTTTGTACTGTATATCACCAGCAAACACTAGAAAGATCAAGTAGCCACAATGAAATATCACCTCATACCCATTAGGATGGCTACTATTTTTTAAAAAATCAGAAAATAACAAATGTTGGTGAGCCATGGAGAAATTGGAACCCTTGTTCACTGTTGGCGGGAATGTGAGGTGGTGCAGCTGCTATGGGAAACAGTATGGAAGTTCGTCAAAGAATTAAAAATAGAATTACCATATTATCTAGCAATTCCATTTCTGGGTAGATCTCCAAAAGGATTGAAGAAAGGGTCCTGAGAAAGTATTTGTATATTCATGTCCATAGCAGCATTATTCACAATGGACAAAAGGTGAAAATAACCCAAGTGCCCATCAACAGATGAATGGCACTATGGTTTGAATGTATATGTCCCTCCATAATTCATAAATTGGAATTTATCACCCAAAGCGATGGTACTAAGAGATGGGGCCCTCAGGAGGTGATTAAGACATGGGATTAGTGCCCTTATGGAAGGGCTTGAGGAGTGAGTCTGCCACTTCCGTCCATGTCTTCTGCCTTATGAGGACACAGCATGTGTCCTTTTCTCCCCGCTTCCCTCTGTCTCTCCTGCCACGTGAGGACAGAGTGTTAATATCCTCCAGGGGACACTGCAACAAGGCACCATCTTGGAAACAGAGACTTGCAGATGATTTGATCTTGGATTTCCAGCCTCCAGAACTGTGAGAAATAATTTTCTGTTCTTTATGTATTACACAGTCTCAGGTATTTTGTTATAGCAACATAGACAAAGACAAAAGGATAAAGAAAATGTGGTATATACTTAGAGTGAAATATTACTATTCAGCCTTAAAAGGGAAGAAAGTTCAGAATATGCTACAACATGGATGAGCCTTGAGGAGCTGAGGCTAATTGAAATAAGCCAGACACGAAAAGATGCATACTCTATGATTCCATTTATTTGAGGTGTTTGAGGTACCTCAGTCAAATTCAGGGAGACAGAAAGTAGAATGGTGGTTGCCAAAGGATGGAGGATGAGAGAAATGGGGATTGTTGTTTACTGGGTGCAGAGTTTTAAAAAATGAAAAGGATTGTGGTGGTGGTCGTACAACAAATGTGAATGTGGTTAACGCTACTGAATTGTATGGTTAAAAGTGGTTCAGATGGGCCGGGCGCGGTCGCTCACACCTGTAATCCCAGCACTTTCGGAGGCCAAGGTGGGCAGATAATTTGAGGTCAGGTGACCAAGACTGACCCGGCCAACATGGTGAAACCCCATCGCTACTAAAAATACAAACATTTAGCCGGGTGTGATGGTGGGCGCCTGTAATCCCAGCTACTTGGGAGGCTGAGACAGGAGAATTGCTTGAACCTGGGAGGTGGAGGTTACAGTGAGCTGAGATGGAGACACTGCACTGCAGCCTGGGCGACAAAGTGAAACTCTGTCTCAAAAAAAAAAAAAAGTGGTTGAGATGAAAAACTTATGTCATATGTATTTCACCACAATTTAAAATAAAATATGTAAAAGATAAATGCACATCCTTAATATTTTTACTGCCTCTAGTGGGTTATTTTTAATTATCTCACTCTGTAGCCCACCACTTTTAAGGCATGCTAACAAGCCAAAGGTGCTAGACACAGAGATGCACCTTCCACCTCCTTCTCCAAGGAGGGATGCACTGCCTACCCAAGGGAGTGTGCCCAGCAGATGGTCGAGCGGTCAGACACTCTAGGACCCACCTCACCTACAGATAGCTCCCTTGCTGAAGTGATGTCCTTACAGGGCAGCCTGCGTTAGTCATGGAGAGTAGCAGGACCTTAAAAGCCCAGCCCTTTCAGCCTGAGGTGGGACACTCTGATGGTTAGCTCTCATTCTAGACTCTCCCAAGGAGGCCTGCATTGCCGTTATATTTCATCTGCCCAAAGTTACTTCCACCTCTTTCCTTTTCCCAGGTGTGAATTCCTAATCAAAATTTTGCATACAAATTCCATCTCAGTATTTTGGATTTTGAAAAACCCAGCTTGAAACAGAGATCAAGTTGCTATCAAGATGAATGGAAACGGATTCTCTAATTTCTAAACAAGAGTGAACCCGTGTTTAAGTTGCTTAGTGAAATGATGAAGGCCATTACATTTGAAGAATAAAATAAATTAGAGCTCTGAATAGGCAAATGAAGTCCTTTTCTGATGAGGAAACATGCATGCACATCCATGCACACAAGAACCAAGCTAACGTAGAAAAATTATACTACAAAATGAATAGAAACTTCTGCTCTGTAAAAGTTGCTGTGTTTGTAATTCAGGTAAACCTATTTTCTATAAAACAGGTGTGATCAGACATTAATATTTGTTTGCCTCCTCTAAGGAGAATCCTCCCACATTGTAATTGTAGATAGCGATCAACGGGCCTGAACAAACAAGTGGATAAATAGGTCAATCCATCATCAAAACAGCTCAGTGGGAGGGAGAGGAATATAAAACAGCCCTGAATGGCAAAGTGGGAGCTACCAGGTAAGTGAGTAGTCACCATTTAAATACAGTTACAGTGTACCCTTTTGAGTATTTACCCTCTGCTTTTTCTGTGTGCCTCTGTGAACAGCCCTGGAATCTTAGAATTTCGATGACAAATTCCAGACATCTGAAGAATCTTTCCAAACATGATAGTTTCTGCTAATATGAAGAAAAAATTAGCCCATGTATTTTGAGATCACATTTGCACACAAAAAAGAATTAAAGAAATTATAATACAATTTAATTCCTACCTCATTTTGAGTTTAATTATTTGGATATTATAGGAACTTCTTAAATATAAATATATTTTAAACCTTCAAGGCATAATGAGAAATCACTTGTTTGTGACCATGGAAGAAAGAGAGATGTAGAAATGTGAAATAATTTATAAATCCAAGTTAATTATATTTCCATTTGGCTTTTGAATAAGATAAGAAATGACGGACAGGTGTTTGTATACTACGATATGACAGCTAGAAGGTATTGAACACACACAGTGGACTATGTGCACTTTACCTGGGCTCTTTCAGTTTTTTTCTCAAAACAATCTGCAAATAGGGAATTATTATTATATTATTGTAATACTGACTTACAATAAGGAAAGACACAGCTTAGAGGAACTGAACAACTTGGCTAAAGTTGCATGGGGAGGAAGTAAGAGAAACAGGAGGAAGCAGGAGGCTGGCTACAGCGTTGGAGCTCCTAAGACCTACCTGCTGCACATGAATGAACTCAGCCAGTTCATTGAATAACTTGCTAAGTTTTGTTCATGTTGTATGAATTGATGGTTTAATTAAATGTTTGAATCTTGTAATTATATTATTTTGAACTGATAGATTTTCATTAAAAGATGATAAGACACTTAAATCAACTTTTAAGATTTCTTTCCATTAGAAATATAATTTTCAGTCTTATTTGAGGAATGAAACACCAGTCAGTGAGAGTCAATGAATAGTGTTTTTGGATGACTGAACTAAAGGGGAGAATGGTGGAATGATCTGTTTGGTGATCTAATCTCAACTGCTAGGGACATGATGGTTTTAACTTCCTGAGTTTTGAAATTCACCCAACTCAAAGTTTCATTGCCAGGCATGTCATTATCAGTCATTGTCATGGCAGGGCACAAAAATGCCAAATGCATCCATCTGTCTTCTCTGTCTTCCTCCCTATGCCTGTGAGAGGCACTCCTGGTAGATCGTAGCACCTGCCGAGCCCTGATGTAGTCAGGATCCATTCTGCCATATCCCAGGGAACAGCCATCACAAAAACTCTCTGTGATCGCAAAACTTTTCTGTAGTTCTCTAGCACTTGGGGGATGAAAGAGGGGAGGTCAAGGTGCAGCTCTATGTTTGTAGAACATTTATAATGGGTGTTTTTTTTCAATACCCCTGAACAGTCCTAGTTTCCTTTTAAATTTTCAAATCAGGGTTCTGGCATTAAGAAAAAGAGGTTTTAGGAAAAGGGCTATTCTTTCTCCTTTTCTTGGATCCTTCTTAAGTAATTGGATCGTTAAAATGAAAATACAAGCTCATTTAAATTGATAAGAGCTCACTTAACATGTTGGTCTTCTTACTAATAATTTTGTAATATTAAAATATCTTTCTTCCCCCATTTAGATTTTATAAACCTTTATGTGATGGACATGTGTAAGGTGAGTTTAGAATCATTGTCTCTTGGGACACACTAATTGCAATGCTGGATACTTCAGAGACCTCCACAGGCTAAGGAGAGCAGTTATTTTGGGACAAACCTTCAGGTAAACCTCGTATAACAGCTCATCCAAGCTCCCTTTACTTATGAGTAGAAATGAACCTGTGGCTTACAACTAAATAGAAATAAATGTTCTCAGCAGGGAAGAGTCATTACCAATTTAATGAACCAGAGTTCTGTTTATAGCTCTGTGAAGGATCATAATGTGTAAATTTAAATAAAACACCGTGACTTTCCTTTTAAGTGTTAATATGTGAAATATTGACTTAGTCAAGATTCCTAACTTAAAAAGTAAGTGTAAAATTCGAATGTGTCTATCAAGTTCACTGACAGGCAATGCAATTAGAGACTCCAGTATAAATGCAAACAGGCCTCTAAACAATAGCATTACAGGATCTGGGGTTCACATTATTGGTCCGTTGCGCTCAGTCCGTTATAGGGCTGATGACTTTAATTAGCTATGTGCATTTAAACATATGTTTATATGAACACTTGAATATGACAAGCTTCTTTTTTCAGAAAAGAGCTTTGATTTTAGGTTCTAGGGTACATGTGAAGGTTTGTTACATAGGTAAACTCGTGTCATGAGGGTTTGCTGTACAGATTATTTCATTGCTCAGGTATTAAGCTCAGTACCCAATAGTTATCTTTTCTGCTCCTCTCCTTCCTCCTACCATCCATCCTCAAGCAGACTCCAGTGTCTGTTGTTTTTTTTCTTTGTATTAAAGTGTTCGCATCATTTAGCTCCCACTTATAAGTGAGTATACTTGATATTTGATTTATTGTTCCTGCGTTAGTTTAAGGATAATAGCCTCCAGTTACATTCATGTTCCTGCAAAAGACATAATTTTTTTCTTTTTTTACGACTGCATAGTATTCCATAATGAATATATACCACATTTTCTTTATCCACTCTGTTATTGATGAGCATTTAAATTGATTCCATATCTTTGTTATTGTGAACAGTGCTGCAATGAACATTTACATGCATATTTCTTTGTGGTAGAATGATTTATATTTCTCTGGGTATATACTCATTAATGGGATTACTGGATTGAATGGTGGTTCTGCTTTTAGCTCTTTGAGAAATACTGCCTTCCACAATTGTTGAACTAATGATTTACACTCCCACCAGCACTATGTAAGTGTTCCCTTCTCTTTGCAATCCTACTAGGATCTGTTTTTAGTAACAGCCATTCTGACTGGTGTGAGATGGTATCTTCTCTAATGATCAATGATATTGAACTTTTTTCATATGTTTGTTGGCCACATGTGTGTATTCTTTTGAAGAGTATCTGCTTGTGTCCTTTGTCACTTTTTAATGGGGTTGTTTTTCTCTTGTAAATTTGTTTAGGTTCCTTACAGATGCTGGATGTTAGACCTTTGTCAGACACATAGTTTGCAAGTATTTTCTCCCATTCTGTAGGTTGTCTATTTACTCTGTTGATAGTTTCGTTTGCTGTGCAAAAGCTCTTAAGTTTAATTAGATTCCATTTGTCAATTTTTGCTTTTGTTGGATTGTTTTGGTGACTGTCATGAAATCTTTGCCTGTTCTTACGTGCAGGATGGTATTACCTATGTTTTCTTCTAGACTTTTTATAGTTTTGGGCTTTACATTTAAGTCTTTAATCCATCTTGAGTTCGTTTTTGTATATGGTGCAAGAAAAGGGTCTAGCTATACTCTTCCGTATATGACTAGCCAGTTGTCCCATCACATTTGCTGAATAGGACGTCTTTTCTCCATTGCTTGTTTTGGAGATCAGATGATTGCATGTGTGCAGCCTTGTTTCTGGGCTCTCTCTTCTGTTCCATTGGTCAATGTGCCTGTTTTTGTACCGGTGTCATGATGTTTTGGTTACTGTTTCCCTGTAGTATAGTTAGAAGTTGGGGACGAGTTCCTTTAACTGTAAAACAAAAGCACTGAAACACATGCCTTGAGATTGATCACAAAGTCTCTTTCCATGGTTCCTTTTGTGGATCTCTTTGGCTCCGTCAATCCTCTTTACTTACATCATTGCCGTTTTCCATTCACTGTAAATTCCCAACTTATGAACACGGGGATACATCTGCCTTATTCCCTGCTGTCTTCTCACGGTCTAGAATCATGCTTGCTCCATATTTGGAGCTCAAGAAATATTTGTTGAGTAAGTGGATGAGTGAATTTTTGGAAACGATTACACTTGAACAAAAGCTCTTGTGTTAGTACTCCTTTACCATATTTAACTAAAGTTCCTGAATAACCAGTTGGTTTAATTTTTTTAAATTAGTAAATGCAATTGTCTAATCTTGGTAGGAGCTCCACTTCAGGTAATATAAGCCAGTGCTCTCTTCAAACTGGGGTATAAGTATTTCTGGGGATAGACAAACATTTTTCAGGCGGTTCACAGACAAAAACACTTAAAAGAAATAAACATTCAGATCTTCAATTTCCACATATACTCTTTTTTAAAGTTTATTTGAGAATACACAGGCAAACCACCTCCACTGTCATTATTTACAAAAGAAAGGCGTATCTCTCACCCAGCCCTGTGCTCGTTATGGGGAATTGCCTGGAGTGGAGAAACTCAGGTGACCGTAAAAGCTACAATCAAATAAGGGCATTTTTGAGAGTGAAAGTAAAGTAGGCTCTATGAGTCATTAACCTTGGGCCAGGCACAGTGGCTCACACCTCTAAACCCAACACTTTGGGAGGCCAATATAGAAGGATCACTTGAGCCCAGGTGTTCGAGACCAGCCTGGGCAATATAGGGAGACCCTATGTTTACAAATAGTAAAAAGAAATTGGCCAAGTGTGGTGGCACATTCCTGCAGTCCCAGCTACTCGAGAGGTTGAGGCAGGAGAATCACCTGAGGTTGTAGTGAGCCATGATTACACTACCACATTCCAGCCTGAATGACAGAATGAGATTCTGTCTCAATAAGCAAATAAACAAAATAGTTAACTTGCAACAATATAATCTTAACAAAGGTGCATTCAGATAACATTACTACCATTCCCCTTTCTTCTTCTGAGCATACTGGGTTTAAAATGATGGCTCTAGGTGCAAGAGAAGCAGGTAAATTAGTAATCACTTGCTAAAGTGGTAAAATTTAAAAAGTATTTTTCCCAGAAACTGATTTAAGTACACAAATCTAATGACTCAGTGATTTCTAAAACTTCGTTTTAAAAGATCTTATTGACTTGTCAGCTGATGGATCAAAAGACACAAACAATGTTTATAGCAGCAATATTCCTGATAGCCCAAGAGATATTACCCAAAATCTCCATCAAGAGTGTGATATATCCATACAACGGAATCTCACACAGCAGTGAGAAAGAACAACTGTTGCTGCGTATGATAACAGGGCTGACTTTCAAAGTTGTAATGTTAGCAAGACCATACTTTCTGATTTCATTTTTATGAAGTTCGTCCACAGACAAAACTGATTCACGGTGTTTGACATTAAGACAATGGTATCATGGTTATTTTTGGGTGGATTATAGACTGGGAGGGGGCACAAAGGAGACATCAGGAGAGATGGAAATGTGCTCTAGATCTTGATCTGGGCAGTGGTTACATGGATGAATCTATATTTAAATCTTCATCCAGCTTAACGTTTGTCAACTTTATGTAAGCTATGCACTAATAAGACAGAAAAACAAACTGATTTATTGAATCGATAAAGGTCCACTAATGCACAATGCTGGGGGTTGGTGAAGAAATCATGAACAAGATCTCAAGAAGCTTACAGATAGGAAAACTGTCTCTCTAAACCGTATCTATCTGTTTTGACATAATCATTAACACCCACTTACATCCTCCTAGCTGGGTTTTGTGGTAAATGACATGATTGCTCCATGTTCCAGTTATCTATTGTTTTGTAACAAATCATTGTCAGTGCTTAATGGCTTAAAATAAAAATTTTAACATAGCTCACAATATTATGGGTCAGGAATTCATGCAGAGCTCAACTGGGCAATTCTTTTAGTTCTACTGGCCCTTGAATGCAGTCTTTTGGAGGCCCTCGACTGGCAGATAGCCTGGTCTGGAGGGTTCAAAATGGTTCACTTATGAGCTCTGGAACTTTGCTGGGGATAGCTTGGAGTTAGGGTTCAGCTGGGACAGTTGACTGGAGTGCCTACCTGTGGCCTTTCCACAGTGGAGGTCTCAGGGTAATTAGGTGACCTCTAATGAGGTGGCTGGCCTGGCTGCCTAACTTTTTTTTTTTTTTGAGACGGAGTTTCGCTCTTGTTACCCAGGCTGGAGTGCAATGGCGCGATCTCGGCTCACCGCAACCTCTGCCTCCTGGGTTCAGGCAATTCTCCTGCCTCAGCCTCCTGAGTAGCTGGGATTACAGGCACGCACCACCATGCCCAGCTAATTTTTTGTATTTTGAGTAGAGACGGGGTTTCACCAAATTGACCAGGATGGTCTCGATCTCTTGACCTCGTGATCCACCCACCTCGGCCTCCCAAGTGCTGGGATTACAGGCTTGAGCCACCGCGCCTGGCCCTCAGTTTTCTTTTCTGTGAAGTGGGCTTATAACAGTACCTATCACAGAGTTGCCTTGAAGTTTAAACGCTTCATTAAATACAAAACACTTAAAATAGAGTTTTCGGTAAACAGTAAGCACTATAAATAAGCTTTAGTAATTATTATTATTGTTATTACTATCACTGTCATTTTGAGTTGTATATCCCCCCCCCATTAGATTTATACGCTTGCTCTTTTGAGGCTGGGTAAGGTAGCTTACAGTTTTGGGGTGAGTGTGAACTTTTAAGTCAGATAGAGCTGTTTAAGTCCAGCTCAGAAACTCAACTGTAGGACCTTGGCCAAGTTACCTTTATGCACCTTATTTTTTATATATTTAAATTTTGCATAACAATATCTAACAGAGTTGGCACAGGAATTTAATGAGGTCATCTTTGTACATGGCCTAGTTCAGTGTCTGATACGTAGTATGTTCCCCCCAAATGGTGACGAAGGTGATAATGGTGATGATGATGAGCATAGACAATGATAAAATGATCATTCTGACATTTTCTAGAATTCCCTCTACTTATTA